ATGCTTCCTCCTTCTCAACAACACATCTCTGCTCTCATGAGGAGGCTCTTGCTTTGCTGCAATTCAAGACATCCTTTTCCATCAATTACACTGTTCCTTATCCAAATTATTGTGTGGATCTTTCTTATACTAAACCTAATTATTCTAAGATTGAGTCATGGAAGGAAGGTATAGACTGTTGTTCCTGGGATGGGGTTAGCTGTGATAATGTCACCGGTCATGTAATTGCCCTTAATCTCAGCTGCAGTTTCCTTTATGGCACCTTTCCTTCCAACAGCACTCTTTTCTTCCTCAGAAACCTGCGGAGCCTCAATCTTGCCTTGAATGATTTTAGGCTTTCCAAGATTCCATCGGAAATCAGTCAGTTTACTAGACTAAAGCATCTTGATATCTCTTCTTCTCGATTTTCGGGCCAAGTTCCGGGAGAAATTGCTCACCTCCCCAAGTTAGTTTCTCTCAATCTCTCTAGTTACCTTTATGATGATTCTCCTGAATTGATCCTTGAAACAACTACCTTGAGAAATCTTGTTCACAACTTGAGTGAGGTGAGAGAACTTCTGCTTATTAGAGTGAACATGACATCTGTTAATTCTCGTTTCTTCATGAATCTCTCTTCTTCTTTGACTACTCTTGATCTTCGGGATTGGGAAAGTGGGTTAAGAGGAAACTTTCCAAACAGTATTTTCCGCTTTCCAAATCTCAAGTTCTTTTATTTAGCTGGAGAGGGAAACCTCACTATTGATCTTCCAAGTTCCAATTGGAGCAGTCCTCTCCAAGGTTTGGATTTAGATGTCATGGATTGCGGAAGGCGATTGCCAGAGTCTATAGGAGATCTAAAGTCATTACAATTTCTATATCTTGGCTGCAACTTGGAAGGTTCCATTCCAGCTTCCATAGGAAACTTATCTCAACTTACTGAGCTAGGCCTCTATTCTAACAATTTTAACGGCCAAATCCCAACATCACTTGCAAACCTCACACAACTTCAGTCACTCAACCTTCAAAATAATCAGTTTTTTGGTCCCATTCCAGCCTTCATAGGGAACCTATCACAACTTACTGTTCTAAGCCTTTGGTTAAACAACCTTAGCGGACAAATCCCATCATCACTTGCAAACCTCTCCAAACTAAGCTATCTAGACTTATCTCGTAACTTACTTAATGGCATGTTGCCACCTTGGATTTTCACCCTACCTTTGTTAGAGTCCTTGTATCTCGATCATAACCAATTTCAAGGTCAAATGAATCCATTCCAGCAAAAATCACTCATATTTCTAGATTTGTCAAACAATAAACTTCAGGGCCCAATTCCTAGCTCAATTGCTAATTTAGTAAATCTTAGTTATCTCCATTTATCATCAAATCATTTTAGTGATTTAGTAGTATCTGACATGTTTTCGGGGCTTCAAAATCTGCAAACCATCATTCTTTCACACAATAATCTTTCTCTGAGAGTCAATGTCGATCCCAACTTCACATTACCCAAACTAACTTATGTTGACTTGTCTTCTTGTAACTTGAGTGAATTCCCCAATTTCTTAAAACATTCAAATGGTCTGCAAAGCCTACTGCTATCAAAGAATAGCATTAATGGCAATATTCCTGAATGGATATGGAAAAAGCATGATCTCAAAATTCTTGACCTTTCTCATAACCATTTAAGCGGGAAGATTCCAAATTGTCTTCCTAAGTCTATCTCAGTGTTGAATTTGCAGGCCAATTACTTTGATGGAAACATAACATTTGGATTTCCAAGCAGCTGTGGATTACAAAATCTCAACTTACATGGAAATCACGTGGACGGGCTATTACCAAGGTCTTTGGTGAATTGTAGCAAGTTAGAGGTTCTAGATGTTGGCAACAACAACATAGAGGATACATTCCCTCATTGGTTGGAATCTCTACCAGACCTTCAAGTGCTTGTCCTAAGGTCCAACAAGTTCCACGGTTCTGTGCAGAGCACCAAAGAAAGTCCATCTTTTCTCAAGTTACGAGTTCTGGACCTCTCCAACAATGATTTTGTTGGTCCTTTGCCTCTTCGGTACTTCAAAAATTTTAAAGCTATGACGGACCTTTATAGAGATGAGCGTTCTCCTGAATACATGAATGTCAGTTCTTATCAATATTCACTGGTTGTGACATGGAAGGGATTCGACTATGAGCTGCAGGGAATCTTGACCATATTCAGTAACATTCATCTCTCAAATAATAAGTTTGAGGGAGAAATTCCAGATGTTATTGGCAAGCTTAGTTCTCTCAAAGGGCTAAATCTTTCTCATAACAACCTTACTGGTCATATCCCACCGTCACTAGGGAATTTGATGAATCTGGAATGGTTGGATCTCTCTTCCAACGAGCTGATAGGAAAAATTCCAAATGAATTGGTATCTTTGACACAACTCTCTGTATTGAATCTTTCAAATAATCATCTTCTCGGACGCATACCACAGGGCAATCAATTCAACACCTTTGGAAATGGTTCTTATGGAGGAAACCTTGGACTATGTGGAATCCCACTGTCAAAATCTTGTGACGGAATGGGGACACCGCCGAGCTCCTTCCAAGAAAAAGATGAGTTGTGGAGATTTGGCTGGAGAGTTGTGGGGTTAGGCTATGGATGTGGAGTTGT